TTGAGGAAGCACTTCTTTACACAGCGTGTAGTCAGAGTATGGAATAGTCTTCCTGCTATTGTAGTGGAAGCTAAAACCATGGGTTCCTTTAAATCAGAGCTAGATAAGATTTTAACAACTCTGAGATATTAGCTAAGTTCTCCCCAAACGAGCTTGATGGGCCGAATGGCCTCCTCTCGTTTGTAAATTTCTTATGTTCTTATGTTCTTATGTACTACTGGCCCCTAGAGGATACTAAAAGCCCAGAACCAGAATAGCAACACATAACTGACTGAACAGTGCCCCTCTCAGGAAATGCAATGTGTTATCTATTCAGTATCAAAAAGCACACTGCAAAACAATATATATAATATCCCACATGCTGTATAGATGTTAGACTGACTGCCTAAATGCTTGTTTTAATGTGGTCAAATTTTTGAGCCCACATTTAGTGTTTGTTTTAGACTTTGTTGCACTTTGTTTTAGGCCTGCTACATTGGCTGTTATAAAGCTTATATAACTGTCATATTAAATTGTCATGTATAATTGAAATTGATTCCATAGAATTGTAGCTTTTGATTCCATAGCAGTGTGGTTTTCTTCATTTAGATAAATAAGGACATAATAAAGGACTTTAAACCATCTGCCATGGCCTGCTCTCTTACCAATTGTAAAAAGTACCAAATGTCCCTTTCATATACTTGCATACATTTTCATAAAATGGTCGATTACTATTAGTTGTCTGTATTGAACCAGGCAAAGCCCCTCACAAGAACAGGACACATACCTTTTTTTGAAATTGGCTTGCTTTTAGTTAATTTTAGTTAGTGTTTAGTTGTTTTTGCAATTGGTTTTCAATGCTCGCACATGCACAACTCATATCGAAGCTTGACTTATATCCTGTAGAGACAGGGTCCTCCTCTGTCACGCAATGCATTATCCAAGAGGAAATTGCTTTTAGGTTGAGGATAATGGACGGGAAATCTTTGTATTGTTCCTTAAACTTCCAGAAAGGTCACACCTCATACACTGTGTTAAATAAATAAGCCTTTAAGATGAGTATTTTTACAGACCAGGCCTGGACTGGCTGAATGTTCCACCTGAGCCAATATATTTGTGGGCCAACAAGATGTGCGTATTTTTTTAATCATGAAACATTGGCAAGATTGTTTTTGCAAATTATGATTATTTTTCATGCAGTATTCTTCTTCATTTCTATTAAATTATACCAAGGCGTTAGTTTCCACAGTTATTTGGTTATTGCTAAACTGTAAAAAATATATATTAATAAACTTGTTATGAATATACATATATGTACAAATATACTTCTGCGTGTTCATCCATCTCAAAGAGATTTTTTTCTATAAAATCTTGATTTTCATGCACTGGAATGGATTATGTGGGCGATACTGCTCAGAAGAGGAACTCAATTCTTGCAATACGTAAATCTACCATTGGATGGCAGTGTGCGTTATCCAACCACACCAACTTGTCAATCACAGCTCAACTCCCGCCTCTATTCACCTTCCATCCAATTGGCTGAACGGTAGCTTTGTTGTTGAAGAGAGAGACACCTGACTTCCTGGGAAGAGCAGGATAATTCTGGAAACACAGAAGTTAATATTTCAACCGAAGAAGGTAATACGTCCATATAACTTTAATTAGACTTATGAAGAACAGCTGAGCGTTTTCGTTTTTATTTGTTTCTGTTTTTCTGCGCATTTGTCTTAAGAGCAGGTCGGAAATTAGTTACTGGGCCTACTGCAACCTCCTGCAGCCTCGCTCTCGAGTGACATGCCGGTCTGGAGTGAGCAGGGCTGCGTTCACCGGGCAGACCGCTGTAACGCTTCACTTCGGAAAGCGAATGCTCACAGAAAGCTGTTAAGTTACATTATGATACCCAGTTCAGCTAATAACTATATGCGTCTTAATCAGTCACTGATAAAACTACCACTCCCAAATAAAACTTGGCAAGTAGCTAGCTTCTGCGTGGAGTTTGGCTTGTATTGTCTTACTGAAAATGTATTCTTAACAACACGCAATAAGTAACTCCAATCTTAAACGTTACTCATTTTTGGACATATTAATTTCGCGATATTGGTTTAGGTCAGTTGCAAAGAATGATTAGTCGACAGTTGCTAAATAATTATGATTTTTGTACTACGGGATGATCGACTTACCTACTAAGTTAAATTTAATATAGTCTTAGTCAATTTTATGAAATTGTCAGTAAAGGAAAAGCATGCACATCATAATGTTGGTCTATCGTATAAGCGAAAAGGTCGAGCCTGATTAAGTCGCCTGTACGGAGTCGCCGTTTTATTGCTATTAACTATTCATATAATCTTTTTTAAAAAATCAATATTTAAATTTCAGCATCAGAACCTTTTGTGTTTTTTTCTTCTAAACTTAGCTGGTCTAGACAGGGGATCTTGGGACCTGATCGTTAATTGATATTATTACATATTATCGTAATGTAATACGAATCACCGGGTCAAAACACAAGACATAGCTCTTAAATATACTGAGTTCTTTTTTAGTGTCTGTACATTCTCATATTTGTAATTGTCAAGGACACATCATTACATCGTTTAGTATCCATAGTAAACTATAACATTTCTGATTTGGTTTTAAGTATTGGTGGTGTGTTTATGTCATGTTAGTGATTTTCTTTTTTCTTTTACCGTCTACTGCATCCCTTAAGCCTGAATGTACCCTGCTCAGTGTACTGGTCCCCTTGTGTGCCCTTCCCTGTATACTGATCCCCTTGTGTTTCCTTCCTGATGCACTGATCCCCCTCTGTGTCCTTTGCAGTGTACTGATCTCTACACGTGCCCTTTGCAGTGTACTGATCCCCGCATGTGCCCTTCGCAGTGTACTGATCCCCACATGTGCCCTTCGCAGTGTACTGATCCCCACGTGTGCCCTTCGCAGTGTACTGATCCCCACGTGTGCCCTTCGCAGTGTACTGATCCCCACGTGTGCCCTTCGCAGTGTACTGATCCCCATTCGTGTCCTTCTCCGTGTACTGATCCCCATGTGTGCCCTTCTCCCTTGTGCTGATCCCCGCGTGTGCCCTTCTCCCTTGTGCTGATCCCCGCGTGTGCCCTTCTCCGTGTGCTCTTCTCCGTGTGCTGATCCCCACGTGTGTCCTTCTCGGTGTGCTGATCCCCTTGTGTGCCTTTTCCCCATGTACTGATCCCCTTGTGTGCTCTTCTCCATGTACTGATCCCTATGTATGCCCTCCCCCGTGTACTGATTCTCTTACTTGCCCTTCCCTGTGTACTAGGGTTGCACAATATCACAACGCGACAATAAAGCTTATGTGCAATAATAACCAGGGCTTCAGATGATCCTGGCTTTTCGGTAAGGATGTTTACTTATACCCACAATTTGGTAAGCAAATTAGCAGTATGCATAAAATATTAATGAGAGGTGTATTGTGACACCCAAAACTAGTAATCTGTATAAATTCTGTGTATCCTTATTTTTGATAAATGTATCGGACTTTAAAGCAAAAAAGTACCGCCACACCGCTTGTTAATATACAGTATCTCTGATTTCAAGTGATGTTGTGGTTGTTGAGCTGTCCCTTTCTTCACTGACACTTCAAAGATCCTAAATCGTTTCCATTATATACCAAAATGTTATATAGTGGCATGCTCCTCTAACTGAATTTAATAAAAATAAGGTTGTGTATAATATATACAGATCACTTTTGTGCATCGTCATGTGCCTCATTATTTATTTCAATATTTTAATTGTACTGCTAATCTGCTTAGCAAATCGTGAGCATAAGTAAACGTCCTTTTAGTATGGAAAAGTTGGCATCCAAAAAAAGATTACTGCTGTCATCTAAAGCCCTGGAGATTATTACGCATGCCCCAGGTAATCGTGATTATATATGGCAAAGGGATGTTGTGCAGCCTTCATGTGTACTGATCTCTTTGTGTGTCTTTCCCTGTGTAATAATCCCCTTCTGTGCCCTTCCTTGTGCACTGATCCCCTTTTGTGTCCATCCCGTGTACTGGTCCTCGTGTACTAATCAACTTGTGTACCCTACCCAGTGTGCCGATCCCCTTGTCTATCCAACCCAGTGTACCGATCACCTTGTGTGCCCTTCCCTGTGTACCAATCACCTTGTGTGCCCTTCCCTGTGTACCAATCACCTTGTGTGCCCTTCCCTGTGTACCAATCACCTTGTGTGCCCTTCCCTG